TATGTCCAAACATTCTTCTCTGTTCATCCGTCAAAGTCATGGCACCTGGATCCTACCCACGATTCTTTTCTCATTGTCTCACGGCTGACTTTTGAAGCCTCTCCTTCACGGACATTGCGCAAAAAGTTCTGACCTGTATGAAAACAGTTAGCTTCAAACACATAAACATAACCATCTTCTATATCTTCAAACTTACCAGGATTCTGCTCTGGTGTAGAAGAACTCTTAAGCTTCTGATTTGGTGGAGCAGAATTTCCAGGTCCAGACTTAAGCTTCTGAGCTGTAGAAGAAGGTACAATGTGACCTACAAAACCCATTGAAAAGAATCTCAGCAACAAATCAGAGAAACAACTTGTCAGAAACATAAAAACGACCTTTACTTACTGGGATAAGGCTTTYAAGCTTGCTCAAAGTAACTGGAACTCTTAAGCTTTTGATTGGGTGTAGCAGAAGTTCCAGGTCCAGACTTAAGCTTGTGAGCTGGTGTAGACGAAGGTACAATGTGACCTACAAAACCCATTGAAAAGAATCTCAGCAACAAWTCAGAGAAAAAACTTGTCAAAAACATAAAAACGACCTTTACTTACTGGGATAAGGCTTTAAAGCTTGCTCAAAGTAACTGGAACTCTTCAGCTTCTGATTGGGTGTAGCAGAAGTTCCAGGTCCAGACTTCAGCTTCTTAGTTGGTGTCGAATACGGTCCATGTTGAGTCGTAAGCTTCTGATCTGTTGTAGATGAAATTCCAATGTCACCTACAAAAACATATAAGCAATTCTCAGAAAAAATCAAATCGCCGCTTCTGATCTAATGTCATCATGTGGCGATATCAAAGGTTTTTCCATTTAACAGTCCATCACAGGTTTCGAGACCTATTCGGTGGTGATGAAAATCAAATTCGCCGGTGAATTTAGTCACCGTCTAAGACGTTAGCAGAAGCAAAATCGAAATGGTGAAACGAGCGACGAAGCAAGAGATCTCGTCTCCACCATAAACGAATCGTTAATCGATTAACGCCGTTACGGAGAACGACAAAACAGCAACACATTCACCAGAAATCGATTCTCACTGAACAATCATCGCAATCCAACTTATCTAGTACCATAAATCAACAATATCGAAGAAATCAGAAACACAATAACACCAGAAATCGATTCTCAGTGAACAATCATCTCCAGATTCAACTACGATCAAACTCGCAACAACGATTCACGAATCAACCAAAGCACAATCAAAAACTTAGAAGCATCTCTTCCGAAATACATAAGAGAACGAGATTCAGTAGAAATTGCAGAAGAGATTAACGATTAAAACGCATTCGAAGAAGGAAAACAAAGTCTGAGTGGAGCATTGAGAAATTCTTACCAATTTTCTTCTTCGAATCCTTGAGAGCTTTCTCCA